AAGAATTGGCCCACTGTGGTCAGTCTGTTCTGTGAAGTAATGAGTTTTCCATGGCAAGGAGGGTTCACTAGCCGTTGTGGGTTTAACCTCTGGGACAGCGGTTCTCAACCTGTGGGTCGCGAACAAATGAAAATACATCCTGCATATCAGATATTTACATGACGATTCATAACAGTAGCAACATTACAGTTATGAAGTAGCAACGAAAGTCATTTTATGGTTGGGGGTCACCACGCATGAGGATCTGTATTAAAGGGTCGCGGCGTTAGGAAGGTTGAGAACCACTGCGTGGGACGTGCTGCAGGGAGAGCCCTTCTCTGGGTGGGCTTGAGCTGTCACCACTCCGCTTTGGGTGGGAGTAAAGGAAATGATTACAGTTCATCTTAAAATTCTGTTCGTGTCCCATATCATCCTTTCTTCCCTTTTCTATCCCACGTCATCTTCCGAGTTCTTAATAGTTCATGCTTTCAGAGATGCTCCTAATACTAAGTATCCACCTGCTGCACTTGGGCAATGCTGGTAGCAAGCAATTTGTCTGACTCTGTTGATCATAGAGGCATTGTCCATCCTGCTAAATTTTTCTACGGAGCCCATACTCCCCAACCCCTCCAGCAAGTGTGTGAGTTCCTGTGTGTGTGTATGTGTGAGATGCTTGCACACGAATGAGTGTTGTAACTGTCATTGCACCTCAAAGTACTAACAGGAAAGCAATTTGCTTAGTGGGATATGGGATGGAGGGCCTTGGTTCCCAGGGAGGACTGATCTGCCCTCTAGTCTCCCTTTTCTCTCCTCCATATCCCACCCCCCTGTCTCAGGCTGACTTCTTCAGCTTAATTTCCCAGGCTGCAGCAGTGACTCCACCCTCCTTTTGCCTTCCCCTCCTCCTTCCTCCACCTACCACACACATGGGCTTTGAGTTATGTGCCTCCTGTTCTAATGAGATAAACAACATAACTCTCCCGGGGCTCTGTTCATCCCTTTCTAAGTGGAACTCCGGAGCTGAATGCATTGACCCTATAAAGGTACCCTGGTGCCTGTCAGCCTGAGGAGGAGGGTGAGGAAGGGGGACAGGAGCCCCCAGAGAATTGTTGGGGCTACAGGCCTGTTGAGATGAGGTGGAGTCAAAAAAGACCTCAAGGGAGGCCTGTTTCCAATCTCGTGGCTACAGAAGCAAAGAACAGCCTGGACATGTGGGTGCGAGGCCTTCTCATGTCACGTGGGCGTGGAGTCCAGACTCGTTTAAGTGAGCTAACTCATAATAATTACTGACATTTGTACAAGGCTTCATGATGATAAAGAGCTGCTTCTTGAATATAAGCTAATCCCCATGACAGTCCTTATAAGGTAGATGCTACTGACAGCCTTACCTTACAGGTGAGCAGGCAGTCTCAGAGAAGTGACATTTCTCAAGGTGACAGGGAATGGCGGTGCACGGACTCATGTGCTCTTCTCTGCGCTGCGGAGCTTCTCCAACCCATCAGGGAAAGTGAGAGAATTAAATAAAAAGTGTCCCCTCTTCTGGACATTCAACCTACTTACTAAAATAGACTCTCCCAGGCGAGTGGGCCTGCAGCTACAAGCTGAGTGGTCTGGGGCTGCCTGTTGCTGCTCACCAAAAAGTGCAGTGACCACATTCTCAAGGAGGGCATAGGCTCTGGAAAAATGTTGACAATTTTGACCTTTTGTTACTTAGACCTTTTGAAAGAGTTGGTCTGGACCAGTTCCTTCTCGCTCATATATTTTTGGTCAGGTTGGAAATACCATGAAACAGCCTGTGGGAGAGAAAGAGTCTAAGGTACAGAGACTACCATGCTGGGGTGAGTCGGGGTTCAATTCTGAACCCACCTCTTTTACTCCCTTTTGGAGAGCTTGGTTGTGGGTAGATGAGTCTCCTGGAGGCAGGAACAGCAGGGGCAATGGTCATTCACTTTCTGTATTTCTGAGTCTGGTTCATTTCTGGTTGAATTTTTTTAAAAAATATATTTTATTGATTTTTTACAGAGAGGAAGGGAGAGAGATAGAGAGTTAGAAACATCGATGAGAGAGAGACATCGATCAGCTGCCTCCTGCACATCTCCCACTGGGGATGTGCCTGCAACCCAGGTACATGCCCTTGACCGGAATCGAACCTGGGACCCTTCAGTCCGCAGGCTGACGCTCTATCCACTGAGCCAAACTGGTTTTGGCTCTGGTTGGATTTATTTGGTATTTCTTGAAGTACCTGCCAGGCACTGTGCAAAGCACTGGGGATACTCCAGATGGACATAGTTCCTGCCATCCTAAATCTTATAAAACTAGTAGGGGAGACAGTCCAGTAAGCAGGCAATGAATGACAATACCTTGGGGAAAACACAGGGAATGTTGGGATCCAACAGAGGTCATTCAACCAGTCTTAGTACATTAGAGAGAACATCCAGGCAGTAACTAGATGATGCTTAGACATCCAGAGGTTCTCGGTCAGACACTGGAACCATCTATAAGGTTTTTAAAAAAGTAAATTGCCCAATCTCCCTACTTACCTACATTTGGATTGGGTAGGTCTGGCATGAATTTTGGCTATTGGTGTTATTAAGAAGTTCTTCGGGTGACTTTGGTTTTGTTTTGGATTGAGAACTTCTGAATGAAGAGGAGTGGGCATTGGTGGGACTAGTTCTGGAACAGGGAGTAGCAGGTCAGCCCATGTGCTTGGCCTTCACTGGATACACCAGCCCAAGAGGTGGCCAAAACTCTTGTAAGGGACCAAGAATTAGTATGCGCATTCAGGAATTACAGGGTCAGAGATGATGTGGTCTGGGACTAAACCACCCCAGAAACATCGAATTATTCCCCAGTGATGCCCTCCCTCAAAGAGGGGTCCAAAACGGACCTCTAGGGGAAGTAGAGCAATCTTACTTTATCTGATTAATTTGGTCATCTATACATTAGCACAAGTCTGGTTCCCAGAGTGCAGGGAGCTCAGAACTTCAGGATACTCCTACTGTGCAGAGGCCGTGAAGTTATCAACAAAATCAAGTATTAAGTATTAGGATGACTCTTGTACATGACAAGCCCTTAGCTCGTAACACCAGGCTCCATCACCTTAATGGTTTCTAAGAATCAAAAGGGTGATGGTTAGTGACCTCCAACTTGTTCATAACCTCGCGACCCGTGGGAGCAGTTTTGTGATTAAAAGTAAAACTTAGCTCATAAAGAGAATTTGAAATATTTGGTTCCTTTAGTGCTGGGATAGGTGCCTCTGATTTGAACCCAAATCAAAAAAACGGGTAGCGATGACTAGTAAAAATGAAAAATGAATAAATGGGTATATAGCAGACATTTCTATTGACTTTTATTGTTTTTCCTGCAAAGGGCAAAAAGTGAAGCCAGTGTCCGTCTTAACATTTTTTCCCCTCCAAATCCTCATGAGGACATGCTGAGAGGGAGGGAGGGAGGGAGGGAGGGAGGGATGGAGGGATGGAGGAAGAGAGAGAGAGAGAGGCACGCACTTAGATGTGAGAGAGAAACAGATGTGAGAGAGGAACATCCATTATTTCCGTATGTGCCCGACTGGGGACTGAACTCTCAACCCAGGTGTGTGCCCTGACTGGGAATTGAACTGGCAACCTTTCGGTGCACAGGAAGACGTTCAACCAACTGAGCCATCAGCCAGGCCTCTTAACTTTTAAAGGCCCCCAACTGGCAGACACATGGGGTTATAGTCCTGATGTCTGAACCCCGTGGCTCTAGATTTAGGAAGGGACCTTCTCATGTGAAGTTGCCTGCATCTAACAGTTGTCATGTGCCATATTTATCTACAGAGGACTGGATTGTGACCCCAATTAAAGTGAAGCCGGAACACATTTGTTCATTAATTCATTCAGCAAATACTTAGTTTGATTGTTCAGTGTATCAGGTTCAGTTCTGGTTCTGGGGATTCTGAGAGGAACAAGACCAAATCCCTTTGCTTGCCAGTCTTTTCACTCTAGCAGGGGTGGGTTAGTTGGCTGGTTTATTTTGGGGTGCATCAGGTAGTCTTTTTAGTCTGCAGATCACCTAACCAGTCTCAAGCCCTCTCCCTCACCCCTCAGCCTCTACCCCTTGCTCTTTTCTCTGGGAAGAGACCACGGTCTAGTGTGGGGAGTCTTTGGTCCTCCAAGGCTTCTGGCTGCCACACTGTGTGTCACAGGAGCCGTAAGAGTGTTGCCTAATGAGCAAGAATGCTCCTCATGGGTTACTTGGCATGACAGGTGATGCTGGTGTGGAACTTTGGTGCCAAAGGCCAATTAAAGTGGAGAATCTTGTTGGGGGACAATGGGTGCATAAGCCCAGCCATAGGACCCCTGCCCATTTTGTTCTATCGGGCCCAGGCAGGTAGGTGGGGAAATACAGGTTTGCTGGTTTTGCAGGCATTGTGGTCACCAGAGCAGGCCTATATTCTTATGGAGGCTGTGCAGGGCTCCCTTTGGCTTCAGCGAGCTGCCAGCAGCTAACTGGGTGGAGGAAGCCAGTAGGTAGGAGTTCTGGCTCCTTGATCCTGTTCCCTTGCAATGATTTCTAATCTGGGCTGACCATTGATAGGCAGACTGACTTCTGCTGCTCCACCTCGAAGGGAACTTGCTTGACTTGCGCAGAGGGCTAGTCGATGGGCAATAGCTGAGATCCATTGCTTTGGAAACACTGGTGACTATGAATCTGGAAAGGTCCCTCTTGTGGTCCATAGGTCCACAGGTCCCTCTGACCTTCTCCCCAGGCCAGGAAAAATAGGACTGGTTTTGGTAAAAGTGATGGCTCTTTTTGGCCTGGGCTCACGGAGACAGCACGGTGGAGTAGACAGAGCAAGGGTTTTGGGGTCAGATGGCCTAGGTTCTACCTCAGCTCCACCATCTATCAGCTGTGTGACCTTGACAAGTCACTTCACCACTCTGGGCTTCTTTCCCTGTGAGTGAGAGGGTTAGACAGCGTGGTTTCCTAGGCCCCTTCCAGTCTGGAGCCTTTAATCTTTACACTGTCTCTGTCCACAGGCCTTGCTCCGGGCCAGCTGTACACATACCCTGCGCGCTGCTGGCGAAAGAAGAGAAGATTGCACCCTCCTGAGGATCCGAAGCTGCGGCTGCTGGAAATAAAACCTGGTCAGTATTGTCTGGAGCTTGGGTGGGCCCGTGATGGAGAGGTGGGGAGCGCTGGGCTGGCCCAGGACAAGGCGGCTTTGTTCCTTTGCCTGTAATGCGGAGTTTTCAGGAGCACGAACGTGTCCACATGATGTTGAAAGGTGTGCCTGCTCTCATATCAACCTGTCCATGTGTCCATCAGAGCTTCCCTCCCCTCTGGGGTCTGGCGCAGGCGCAGGTGCAGGTGGGAATGGGCCCAGGATGAATCCCGTTCCCACAGAGCAGGAGGAGCTGCGGCTCTTAGGGTCGGGTGATACCTTCCTGTGGCTTCAAGTAAAGAAACCGTGTGTTCCTAAGAAGGAGGGTGTGTTGGGGACCCTTTCCCACCCTTACTGTGGATGAACTTTTGGAGCAGCTTACATGAAAGGGCCATTCACTCAGATGGAACCATCTTGGACATGGAATTGGAAGAGTTTGAATAATTAGCCTTTAGGTGATGCTGGTTGCTTTGGGACCTGCAGAAGGAATGGCTTGTATTCTTGCCTGCTTACTGACCCTTTCTGACACTTCTGACTAGATGGCCATCTTCAGACCTGTGTCTGCTTGCAGCAAGGCCAAGTGATTGCCCTGCGACTTTGCTTTCAGGGAACCTCTGGTTTTGGGGGTGCTGTGGCTGGAATGTGACTCAGGGTGGTGAGAACTGTGCTGTCAAGTAGAGCAAATACAGAACGGATACGTTTCGTCCCCCTGTCACCAAAGCCATGCAGACCCAGCCTCACCCCTGCCTTTTCACCCTGACCTCTTAGGTTGTGTTTTCTCTGCAAAATCTCGACTTAAAGTTGTTCAGAATGTTTTCACTCGCAGTTCCATGGTTAGGCCTGCTTTCACTGTTTGCTTCAGCCTAGGCATTAACTGTGTACAAGTTTTATTTGCCAGGGGTGGGAGGGAGGGAGCTATATTCTTCAATGCACTTCATCCAACCTCTCAAACCGCCTTGCACAATCTACAGGCCCTTGCATACACTCAAGGGTAATGACTGAGGTGGTTCCACCCCCCCAGGCCCCCGACGGGTTGTAGGAGAGCCAAGTGTCTGGGAGTGGCACAATCCAGTAGACATATCACGCAGCCACAGGTGGCATTTTACATTTTCTAGTGGCCGTATTAGAAACAGGAAAAAGAAACAGGTGCAGCTGATTTTACTGATAGATTCTATTTTACCCAAAATATAAAAAATATGATTATTTCAGCATGTCATCATATAGAAATTATAAATGCGATATTTTCCCTTTTTTTGGTATTGTTTTCGAATGCCTGTGTGTACTTTACACTTTCGGTCCCTTTTATTGTGCACTAGCCACATACATGTGCCCAGTTGGCCATAGGGCCAGTGGTGCCCGTTTGGGTCAGTGTGGTTCCAGAACTGCACTCAGCATATGGTTTTGACCAGCACAGTCATCGCCTGGGAGAGATAAAGACTCTTGGGCTTCACCCCAGACCTGCTGGGTCAGAAGCTCATTTTATTTTATTTTTT